CTGTGGTACCCAGTAAGGACATTGTCCATATCCATCTCCCATTAGAAGTAACTCCATTTAAGCTCTTTTTGTGCCTGTACATGCATGTATTTTAGGAAGCTTCTGCCGCAATAGATCTTTTCCTATAGCAAGCAAATAAAATCATATTCTATGTTTGTATTGTTTATTTCTTCTGTTATTTAACATCCACATTTCTAAACTGTAACAGAAATTTATAACACAATGTATTATTCATTTTAGAAGGTATCCCTTAATTTTTTGCTACAGAAGATAAGGACTTTCCTCTATTTTCCCCAATATATCTGGCTCAATTCCTCACAAACTTCATGCTTTAAAAACGGTTATTTCCCATGTTACTTATTTTTTGAGTCAGTATTGATTACTTGTGTTATTGACACTATGTAAACAATATACAAATTATCTAGGTAATATGTATGATTACATTTCCTTTCTGACAGAACCATTATTCCTAGAGTTAATAACTGCTTCCTATAATAGTCCCTGTAATTCTTGCTATTAATAATTTCCACCCAAATTATCTCTCACCACTAAACATTTCCTCTCAGTGTACATATTTACATTTCCTTTTAAAGATGGTTTTCTTAGAGACATCTCTTACAGAAACTCACTATATGATTTCCATCATTGAAGTTCTATTGCACAGACATTTACACCAAATTCTTGGCTTTCTTGTTGCCTTGTCTCTCTAGTCACTTCTAAAAATATTTTTTAAAGCAGAAACAAATCCCTACCCAAGATTTTAAAGACATCTTGGCTTCCCATCTTATTTCCAGTGTTGATTCTGAGAAATCTAACACCATCTGCATTCAGCATCCCTCGAATATAATCTTCTATTTCTCTGAAAACATTAAGAATATTTTATCTATGAACCTATGTTCTGAAATTTCAGTGATGTTTCTAAATACACTCTATTTGTATTCTTTTGTTCTTCCATACAGTCCATGATTTTCTTTGTTCCAAAAACTTTATCATTAGTCCCAGGAGGTTGTGTGATATTTTAATTAGCACCTGGAAGAATGGGATAGCTAAGTAGTTAAAAGTAGGTATAGCTCTTTCAGAGTTCCCAACTTTGATTCTCAGTACCCACATCAGGTGGCTCACAATTACCTGTAGCTCCAATAGGATCTAACTCATTTGGCTTTTGTTGACACTGGATGTAAAAAGCACATAAACACTTCAAAATTTAAAAAAGAAACCTTAAAAGATAACACATTTTGTGAACAATTCACATATGTATATGATATACTTTGCTCATATTTTTCTTTGAAGAAAAACTTCCTTCCTATTTCTATGAAGTACTCCTGAGGAATGGTCACTTCTCTGTGATTTTTGAAATCAGAATAATTTCTAACAAATTTTAAAATTCAAATAATTTTCTAACTTTGTCAATGCATGCAATTATCCTTCCCAAAGGGTGTCCTAAATCACCCTTTGTCTCTGGAAAGTAAGAAGTCTCTGGAAGCAGAAGGAAGATTTCTTCCCTCAGGTAGAAAACTCGACAGAGCTCACCTTTGGACTTAGATGTTGTAGAGGTCGAAAATGAAATGAGAAAGATTTTGTTCTGTGAGGATTTAACTCATGCATCTATCAAACCCAACATCACTCTCTATTCTATTAAAGAAAGAAGGGAGAGAAGGGGATGATGCTCCCAACTGATGTGAAAGTTTTCACAATATGTGTGTATCTTCCATAAAATTAAAAGGTACAACCAGAAAGACAATACAGTATTTGCATTTCCATTCTCTATGTTCAGCACAATGTCTACTGTTCTTTAGATAGTAAATGAAGTTTTAATAATGATTGCTATAGTACTGCTCTCCACTGGATACTACCACACATTGTTCCAGCCACAGGGACTTTTCTTATGCCTTCTTCTTCTTGCATCATGTAGAATTGAGAATAATGAATAAAGGTTCTTCTAATAGGAAGAACAAATTGTAAGGTGTGTGTGTGTGTGTGTGTGTGTGTGTGTGTGTGTGTGTGTGTGTTTCTGAAGTAAATGTAAACTATGGTGTGATCATTTAATATGACAAATTGACCAGTGAGTATCAAACTAGAATGTCTCCACTTCTCATTTTTAGATACTATAATGTTCAATGGTGTTTAATTCTGACATATATGAGATGCTTATGTAAGGGGCTGTACAAAATTACCCAAACAATAAGTTTGAAATCACTTTCTGTCTATACATGCTATTCAATAGCACCACAGAGAGTAGCTTTGAACACCTCACTAGGAATTTCAAGGGCATATGCATGACTAAAAACGTGTAGGATCTCTAGTAACAGTGGTGTTTGAACACATGCATTTCAGAAGTAAAGTCGCCATGGAAATTCACTTCATAAAATCAACACCCTAGAATGACCTACGCTTTTCCAGTCCCTCCATCCAAACCCTCAGCAGCTGAGCTCATTTTGAATAAGACTGCATGGAAGGGATTAGGAAAGAAATGTAGCAGAAAATGTAGAAAAGTGATTCCTCAGTTTGAAAGATAACTTCAAGTAAAGCAACTGGATATAGACTCCCTTAGGGAAAGTCAGAATGTTTAGAAAGAGTACATAATACAGAATGGATTTTATTCAGGTCAGATGATTAGAAAACTAGGTTGGTATACTCAAATGCAGTGCCAACAACTCAATGCTTCTATTTCTTAATAATATCCCTGGCTTCAAGTGGAAGATTAAATATGAAATTTAAAAATCTGGATTTAAATAGGAAGTGAGCACAAGAACGATGATGGAGATGAAATGTTTTAAAACCTATCAGACCACAAACTATGGAATAGTGTTGAAAATATGATGATTTTCATAATAATAAGTAGGGAATATTTTGTCCTTAAAATGGATGAAATAGGCTCACAAAAATGATTTTAAAGTGCCCTGAAAGTCTTGATTAGAAATGATGATAGAGTTATACTAAATTGAAACTCATTGATTTACAGTCTCTATGCTGTTAGATGGTCTCAGAATTTGTTGAACTATCATCTTTCCATATGACAAAAGTGCTTACCTACTTGCCATGGCTGAATAAAATAAGTTAAAACTATCATAAGCTCTTAGAAGAAAAAAATACTACTGTGTATTGATTTTTCAGATTCAGCTCAAAGTTTCTGAGGAGCTCAAAGGACTGTATTTCTCCTCAGCAAAAGAAATAAAACCAAAATTCAGGCTCAACCTAAACATAAATGGGGCTTAGGAATGACACAGTAATACCACTTGGCATTTCTTAAGTTAGCCTGTTCCTTCTACACTGGATAAAAATAAAGAAAAGAAAGCATCTAAAACAGAACCACCCTATTACAACCCAAATTTGCCCATGAAAGCAGAAACGTTCTGGCTGGCCTGCATTCGGGCATTTTTTTCCACTTTCCTTAGCCTCCCACACCATAATGACTTATGCATGGAATTCGGAGACTTTATATTTTTCTTCTTGGTGCAAGGTGAATGCCAACATGGAAAACGTGAATGATGGCCATTTTCAAAGATGGCCACAGACCTCAGGAGGAACCAAAAAGTATTCAGAAGGATATTTGGTTCCACTGGGGTACCAAAATGCTAGTACATCTTAATTCCACCCATCTTTATAGGGTGTGACTATTTACCTTTCTAGCATGTCCTTCGTTATAATAATTTGAAGTTTTTGGTGGGGAGTCAAAGTCCTTTTCAGAAGATGGGATTGAAGCCAGCCCAGCAGTTAATCTGGTTTGTGGCTGAGAGCAACATTATATGCTGGCAGTTCCTGTGCTGAGCAGAAACTAAAAACTGTCTGCTCTTTCAATGGGATTTCTCATTCACAGTCTAGTGATTTGTTTTCACTGTAGGATGACATTTGAGGTAGTCAGTTTTAGAAGTTTTAGAACACAGATATAACTTGTTTCCTTTAACTAGTTTAAATAATTTAAGGTAGAGGATGCAGGCCCAGAAAGTTCTTCCATTCGGACCTTATCTTACATGTGATTTTTGTTGTCTGATTAAATTCGTATGGTCCAAATCCTAACAGAAATGTACTAACATCTTTACAAGGAAAGAGAATGAGACATGAGTGTTTGAAGACTGGAACCTAATTGTCCAGTGATGCTCACATCTCCCTTTTGAATTGCTTCATGGGGGGTTAGAGTTCATACATAGTAAACACATGAGGGAAGAGAATTGTGAAGCTAAAACATCACAATTCAGTGTAGACAATGAACTGCATTGGTCATTTGAGCCTGGCCCTTGGAAGCTTGATCTAATTTACAATATTAGCTCATGTCCAAGATCTATTGCTTTGAACATTTATATTTTTTATGCTTCTACAATACTTCCATGATATTAATCATGGCAGAAAATAAATGTATGGTACAAGTATCTATCCTAAAGTCTTATAATGGAATGCATCGTTCTTTCTTATTCATGAGTTGTGAGTTATTATGAACTAAGCTGTATTATTCTGCTTCCCTGTTACACCCTGGGGTAGAGACATCCTAGTTACTGGGACCAGTAAGGGTCCTTTTACACACTAATGCATTGCACATGCTATCCCCATTGCTCTAGTTTGCAGAACCGGTTCCCTGGTGGCCTTTGTTTCAATTAAAACCAAACAGCAAATCAATTTCCTTAATGGCTTTTGTTCACAAAAGTACATCAGGAAAGCATTCAAAACCAGAGCAACAAGTTAGTTTTTCTACTCAATTTTATTAAGTATCACAATTCAAATACTTTGTTAATGGAGCTTAAAATGTTTTGGTGCTTATAACTTCATTCACAAATAAACCTGCTGAATTGTTTTTTTAAGTACTGATAAAGTTTCACTAAAAATACCAAATGCAATTTTTTTCTCTAATATTAGACTGCTTCTGAGAAACAAAACCATTAAGGCTATTAAGCAAAGCTTTTGTATTATTTCCTACCTCTGCTTAAAACAGATTTACATTCTTTGCCATGAAATATTATTACCTTGGAAATGTACCTATAACAGTATTTTTTCAAAATTTCTAACAGGCAACGAAATGGCAGAACACACTCTCTTCCTTGATCCATGAATTCAAAATCATCTTTCGTCAAGTTCCATCCCCGGTGAGCGTCATATGGAATGCATCTCCTTGTCTGTTGTTAAGCTATGGTGACATGTCTGTAGCTATCAGAAAAAGGAGCTGGGAAGAGCATGTGACCCAACAGACTGGACAGCCTTTTAATTCTGATGAGTATGACATAGCATGTCATCACGGACTGGCATCCGACAGCTTGCAGGCAAGTATGGAAAAAGATGCAACCTTAAATGCTGGCCATAAAGAGAAGTGTGCCTCTCTACCAGACTGCTGTTGTGGGCCAGAGCCCAGAGACTTTCCTGGGAGGCCAATGGGTCATATTTCACAGGAAGTGGATGAAAGCGGCAGCCAGGAAGGGGAGGAGCGGTTTCTGTCTCTGGAGGCCAGCACAGAAACGCTAGTACACATTTCTGATGAGGATACTGATTCCGAGCTCCACCTTACCCATGATGCACAGATTTCAACTCCCCAAAGACATGACAGAGACAGCCAACTTGGTGTCGAAGGAGCGGGCTCCCTCATGAAGACACTGTCCACCATGCACAGTAACCCAGATTCACATAACTCCTGGAGGAAGGCTGGTAAAGCTGATGTGTCTCCAGCAGAAGAAAGTGGGGGGAGGCAAGGTGCTGATGCTGTAACTAAAAGCCTGGAGCTTTGTAAGGATAGAAGTTCAAATGAAACAAAAGATGTGCCCAAAGTAAGTACATTCGATTCTTTGAATGTGGAAGATACCACACCTGAGACACAACTGCTTAATTCTGCGGTAGTCGCTAAACAACGAAGGAAACCTGACTTTCCTAAAGAGGAACAGGAAAAAAATCGCCCCGGTGTAGTAGAAGTGGAGTTCTTGGCTGCTCCTTATGCAGACAGAGGGCTGCCATTATTAAAAGCAGATTGCGGAAGCTGCCTTCTACAGCCTCCTTCCTGTGCCCGTGGAATGTCAGCAGAAAATGACCCGGAGAGGAGTGGGCTCTCAGAAGATCAAAACAAAATCCCTCTCAAGGTCAACACAGAAGATGGCTTGCAGTGTTTACACTTAAGGGGCCCAGTGACCACCCAGGAGACCATAGACAATCAAGTCCGATTGCGCAAGAGAAAGGTAAGTCTCACACATAGATCATCTGGCTTTTGAAATGTTGTAAATGTCCTTATTTTTGTCATTTGGGCTGAAAAGGATGTGCAGATGTTTGGTTTGGTTTGGTTTTGAGCCTGTTATGTGGCTCATACAATTTTAAGACTTGGTAAGATTATGAAAGGTATGTGAGAGCTGACATATAGTAATCTTACTATTTCACTAATTACATTGTGGTGTTTAGTAGCCCTTTAAAATTGTGTCAAGATAGGACTCAGCATGGCTTGCTTTCCTTGGAATTTAGTAGCCACCACGGCCTATCCCATTGTAGTTCATGGCCTTCTAAAAACTGACATGTAATTCTTAGAAAAAAAAGTGCAGTGTATTTAATTTTGTCTCATTTGCTTGGGCTTGTTTTCTTTTTCTCTTAAAAGTATATTTAGGCATTTTCACTCATATATTCAAATTCAAACAAACAAAAACAACCTGGGACTGGTGAAATAGCTCAGAGTTTAAGGGCATGTAATTCTCTTCCAGAAGACCAGAGTTCAGTTCCCAGCACCCATGATGAGTGGCTCACAAGTTCCTGTAATTCCAGCTTCAGGGGATGCCATGCATTCTCCCAGCCTCTGTGGGCCACCACACTTATCTGCATACATATACATGCAGATGCACACACATACACAGTATTAAAAATACAATAAGCCTTAAAAATTCCAAATAACCCTTTCATGTGGAAGACAACACCTCACATGTACTTTAAATGTTACCCTAGTACATTCACTATCAATTGATGCATCATTATGCATTTTCCTTGAAAAAAGCCAATACAAGATATTAATTTTAATTTTATGCCAAGATGCCTTTGAATGAATCTAGGGATTCCCCTCATGAAGGCTCTAGACAAGAAAAGTACAGGGGAAGCCCTACATAACTAGGTTAGCATTGAACTCTTATGCAAAATTTCATTATATATATATATATATATATATATATATTTATATTTACATAAACTGATGTAAATCTAACTGACAGTTTCTTCTCGAGTCACTCTTCTGTTGCAATTGAAAAAACCCTGAAGATTGGAACACTTTGTGCAATAAAGATTTTTAAGGAGATATTTTTCTTCTCTTCTCCTGATGTAATCTTAATCCACAAATTCACAATTCCTAAACAAAAACTAGATATTCTTTTTTCAGTTGAACTGGAGCCAAACACCTACTGTTTGAGGGGGACCCATCCAATTCTCTCTATTTCCTTAATCTGTGGTAGATTAGTAATGTATCGCTAGTTCATTTCAATGAATTCAAGGACATTACTGGAAAAGTCAATATGCTCAAACTGTATACCAACAGAATATTCTGTGCCTCTGGCAAGCATTCCCTTCCCTATTACGTTGCATTGAAATGTCAATGCCACATTAAAATATTATGATTGGAATGCTCAGGTCATATTTCCAGAAATTTCCATATGTCCTATCAAATCTGTTGGAGAGAATGCAATAATGGCACAAGAAAATATTAACTGACTTAGGACATAGCTCCCTAAAATAAGACACATCTGGCCCAACTGCCTACCAACACATTAAACATTCCTGCAACATATACTCATTGTTGGCCATTGATATCAATATGAGGAATGACGGAAGGAATCTGCTCTTCAACATGCTGCTAAAGGCTGCACTTTGAAGGCTGTAGTTGTATCTCATTTGCAAGTTCTAATTTAAATTTCCTATTTTAAGCATTTCAACACCCCAAAGTGTTGCAGCATTACTGGTTGGAATACTTGGACAATACAACCTTTTGGGATGCCTTGGAATGAGAAGATTAAATGGAAACATTGAGGTTCAAAATTTGTGATAGAAAGCATGGCTAGAATAGATGCTATTAGAATTAAAATGTGTAATAGCTGTTGCTTGATCTATTACTAATGAGTGTTAAATAACTATAAATTGAAAACTAGTTCAAATTGTACCAAAATAGCCAAATGTATACATAAGAACAACATACAGAGATACTCATTGCTTCCTATAACTCAAAACAAAGAAACAAAAAGCCTGAATTTTCTTCAATATATATTTCACTATTATGAACTGTATGGAATGCTATTAGGCCATTAAAGACTTGGAGTAAAGGGCTTTGTAGAGATGGCGCAGTCTCTAAAGTGCTTACTAGGCAAGAAGGAAGAACTGAATTTGATTTCCCAGAACACACATACAAAGCTAGGTGTGGCAAGGCATACCTTAAACCAGCACTCAAGGGCCAGAGACCATGAGAACCCTGGGATTGCTATCCATCTCATCTAGCCAAGTAGTAAGCTTCAGGGTCAATGAGAGACAGTATCAGAAAAAAACAAGATGGAGGATCAGGGCTGAAGAGATTGATCAGTGGTTATGTCAGGGGACCTGGGACAGGAAACAGCAGTCACATGATGTCTCACAACCATCTTTATTTCCAGTCTCAGTGGATTCGATGCCTCTTCCAGCCTCCGTGGATACCAGACATGTACTTGATCCACATACATACCTGCAGGCATGACACCCCCCATACACAAAATAAAATTGAAATTAAAAAGAAGATGGAGAATGACAGAGGAAAACACTCAGCATCAACCTCTGACTTCCACATGCATGTACACCTTTACACGTACATGCAGACACATGAACAGATAGACACAAACCTATAGTCTTTCAGCTTTAGCCTTCTGGATAGCTGGGATTAGAGCTCTTGGTCACAGTGTTTGCTTTGAACAGCGTTTGCAAAGTCACATGTGAACTACTCTTTCATGCCTGTACAATGTTAGGTGCCAGACACCAGAGATAGTTTGCTAAGGCATCTATCTAGTTAATACTGCTTCTCAGTCGTGGCATAACATGAGAAGAGAGGTTGGAAATGTGATAGACTGTGAGATTATATGAGGTTGAGAACGTTAATCGGCTGATTGCCAAGTAAGAATACCAAATTATTTATTGAATTTTCAGGCATAGATTTTTCTTTCACTGGAATATAATCCATATTCTAAGAGTGAAACAAAATAACAAAAAAAAACAGTAAAGCAGAGGCTACAAGAGTCTTCGGTCTACAGGAGATGGCTTGAAATCCCCCTACTTAGTATGCTGATGCAGAAGAATGGCAGATACGAACGTAGCTTTCATTATACAATAAGATCCTGTCTCGAGGAACAAAACAAACCAATCAAAGCAATGAGTGATCTCCTGAATATGTTGCCTGGTACTCCTCTAGACCTATCATGCCTCATGTCTACATCATACCTCTTTGAAACCTATAAGGCTTAGCAGGCACTCATTATTTTAGATGACTTTGTCCAGTAACATCTGGGCTAGACACACATGTGTTTATAAGGACTCTTCATCGCAGAGGACTGCATCTGTAGCCTATCTAACCAATGAGATTTGGGGCTAATAATTTACTTTTGAGTTTAAATATGTTAAAGTAGTCCATGGGATTGAAATTGAAACCGCAAAAATCAAAGGAAACCAAGAGGATTGTAAGCAGACATTAGCAAATGAACCACACAGCCGTGTGGCATATGACAGTGCCCTTACAGCCTTGGGTGATTCCCTAGGCTGAGACAACTGCGTTAAAGCAGTGCTCAGAGACACATTCCACAGAAGTCTGGAGGCAGGAGAGAGTCTAAGAAGTGGTCTCTTAAACCAAAAGATATGTGAAGATGGAAAAGGCATAGCGAAAGACTTGAGGTTGGAGGTTTTTTGAAAAACCAGTGTTATTTGTCATTGATGGTGGTTTACTAATTAAAGAGTCCCAAATTCCATCTTCTGTAAAGAGCATTTAAGGATTTGCCAAACTTTTGAGTAATATTATAGTTACAGAAATATATGAATGTGTTTTTATTAATACACTTAGATGAGACATAAACCATACTACAAAGCAGGATAAACTCCAAAAATAATAACTTTGAGATGACACCAATACCTACTTCCAAGAAACTCCCTCAATCCAACAACAAATTAGTTTTGACTTTGGGATTCTTGATGTGTATGATGGCTTATGCCTTTAATCTCAACACTTGAGAGATGGAAGCAGAAAACTTGGTTTGGGCTACATTATGAGTTCTGAGCTAGCCTGGCTACATTGAAACCACATCTCATAAAGAGTTAGGCTGGGGAGACAGGTCAGTCAATAAAAGAGGTGGCTGCACAACCATGAGGACCTGGGTTCTATCCTTAGACACCTAGGTGTATCATCTCAGTGATGAAGTGCTGGGGCAGGCAGAGTCTGGCTGATGACAGGGACTCATAGCTAGTCAGCATAGCAAACTCATTGAATTCCTGGCCAGTGACACACATTAGCTGAAAGCAGCAATGTAGAAACTGGCATGATGACTATCTTAGTTAGGGTTACTATTGCTGTGAAGAGACACCATCACCATGGCAACTCTTGTAAAGGAAAGCATTTAATTGAGACTGGCTTACAGTTTCAGAGGTTCAGTCCATTATCATCATAATGGGGAGCATGGCTGCATATAGGCAGATAGCTGAGAGTGCTACATCTTGCAGGCAACAGGAAGTCAACTGACTGTCACACTGAGGGAAGCCTGATCAAAAGAGACCTGAAAGCCCACCACTATGTCACCAGCTGTAGTGACACACTTCCTCCAACAAGGCCACACATACTAATAGTGCTACTCCCTTTGGGGGCCATTTTCTTTGGAAACCACAATGGTTAGGCAGGTAAAAATGCCCCTGTCCTACATAGTGGAAGGAGAAAATTAACTCCCACAAGACCTCTGACTATCATACATGCTCCATGGCATACCCATGTGCACACATATACTCATTTGCACATGTACACACACACACACACACACACACACACACACACACACACACACACACACAAGTGTGAAAATAACTTAAATAAAAAGTGGGCAATTGCTCAAAAAATGACACCTGAAAATACCCAGTTTCTCTCAAGAATCTCTAACCTAGACACACTCTCATACATATGTGTGTAAATGCTTACATACATATGTACCTGCATGAACAC